CAAGGGCGTTGCAAAATTAGGTGATGTTCTAAATTCATTCATCTGCATATATAGAGCATCATTTATATATCCCCAACCAAATTAATGATGATTCATTAATCCATATCAGATTCATTTTAGCTTTTTATATGAATACACTTATCTATAAAACTCATCAAGAAAGAACTAAGTGTTTGTGAGAGAGGTTATCACAAATGCAAAGTGCATTGTGCGCTTCTTTCTACACAGAATATTCAATTATCTATAGAGAGAACCAAGAAATCTGGAGTGAAATTATAATGGGAAGACATATCTGCATGCATACCCAACTTGGTCTAGCAGTACTGATGGAATTGGAGGGGTGTCCCCTCCGATGTGAGCCACGTGTTGAACGTCTGTAGGGTACCCGATTTCCATCTCGCGTTCCTTCACAACTTCAAGAGAAAAATGATATGTTTAATTATCAGAACGTGCCGCATTGAACACATTTGAGAACCCAGAATTAACCAAGAAACGAAAAGCTTACCAAATATCTGGGAAATGAATTTGAAACTTTTGTAGATCCCTTTTATTTTCATCGCCATGCTTGCTGCAAATCACAACCCTTTAATTACCTCCTTCTTATATAGGAATCAGACAAATCGTATGATGGCCAAGCAATAAGCGGGAAGATTTGTTTTCACATAGAACGCCTTTTCCTGTTCAGAAAATGGATGAGCTGTGATCATCAGATTCTGAGTTTAAAAAAGGAGTAGTAGAGTATTAGCCAAGGTTTTAATCAGCAAGTGAATTAGAAACCATCTCCTTTTCCCTCCGAACCAAGATTAGCATCTCGATATTGAGGGGGTGTTTGGATAGGAACCAAACCATATTTCAAAAGTGTTTTTATAATTTATGAAGCAAATATGTGACGGAATTTGTCTCGTTTTGCAGAAAAATGCTTTTGGAAAGTGCTTTTAGTAATAGCCAAACACCCTCCTCAATACGAACACGATTATGCTTCGTAATATATAATGCATAAGGATTAGCTTTAAACTCAGTTTGTATATATACCTGAGAATGATTTTATGGGACGAGAGAATAAGAAAATATCTCTGGGCTCTATTTGTGAGGATCATTTTTTAGACGTAGAGAAAATGGTGACACAAGCAAAACATGTGTCTCAAATTGTTTAATGTGAGGGAATGAGATATAAAATAGAGAAAGAGATGGAAAAGAGAGGAGAGTGGGTTTCCATCAGAAAGCTCAAAAAGAAAGGAGGATGAAAAATGGCTTCGGAAATAATAGGACTAACTTTTGAGAATGGAAATCAATTTAATTTAATGCCTTAATGGACTGGTTTATTAACGGATACCTGAAATAAAAATATGGCGAATTGGCTGGCCAGGATGCAGTTTGCGCAATTCATATTAATTTATTCCCAAACCATAATCTATATATCTCCATATATTTATGTATAAAATGTTGTAATAATATTTATATTCTCAAGTCATTGATTCTAAATGAATTACGAATCAATATGACCTAATTATAACATGTATATGTACACATACACACGCCTAAGACCATAAACAATTTCAAGAATTTTTGGAACTCAAAGAAACACTGTATGTCAGAGATGTCCCAAGAAAGAACACTTGAAATTTTGTTTAGAAACAAACGCTAGTTTTAAGCACCGCACCTTTGAAACGAATGGCTTCAAATTGAGGTACATTAATATGAATAATTGCAATCTTCCAAGTGGCCGGCGACATTCCTTTCATTTATACTCTTCCGGTCTTTAATATAGAACTCAATTCTTGAGTTGGTTTTGGTCATAAATATAAGACTTATTTCTCATATTTATTAATTTTTTTTAAATTACCCTTATGGATACTCGGTCAACCATAATCAAGTAGAAGAGGGAGAGATGGTATTAAGAAAGATGATTATGGTGTTTTAGAAAAAATGTGTCACTTTTCTTATAATTAACTAACTTACCTAACTTCCTTAATCTAATTAAATTAGTTAAATGGGTCTTATATTAAAGATCGGAGGAATACCATTTTAATTACATTTTATATGCATAACAAACAGACCAAATATTATTTGATTACATCAATATTGCCTCCAAATAAAGGTGTCGAGTTATAGATTTGGCTAGTGAAGCCACATAAATAAAGAATTGGGTAAATCCAGAATTATACGTAATAATGCTACGACACTTGTTTGAGTACAAGCAACTGAAATTTGCTTGCATTGCTGGCAAATCTGAAGAGAAGAACCATTGCTGCATGCACGTATATGTGTAGTGTATTACTCCCTGTTCCTTATTATAAGAGACATTTGATGTTATATGCATGTTCCTATATATAAGAGACACTTACAGTTGTCTCTACTTTTTTGTATTGATTTACTATTTTACCCATATTTATTATCTCCAACTCACACTCTCTCTCCCTCTCACTTCTCTTTCTTTTAATAATTTAATTGTTCTCTCTCATGCTCTCTCTCCTTATTAATGAGGGCATTTTTGGAAAAAAATTATACTTTTAACACATTAATTGTTCTTAACTAATTTTAACTGTTTTTTTGATCAACGTACTTCGGTTATTTGTCTCTTATAATAAGGAACGGAGGGAGTATTGTATTGCAGATACAGTTGTTGCTGAGTATATGAAATTAACACACATTTCTCAATCTTTATTACTCAAACAAAAAATATGCGCCCCCTTATCTCCCTCAAAATCATCTCACTTATTCCCTCTTTTTTTTTTCTGGCCGAAAATCATCTAACTTGTTCAAATGTACAATGGAGAATAAGAGAAATCGGTCTTACAGTCTAATGGCATAAAAACTCCTCTGTAAGTGAAAGATTGTAAGTCCAATCTCACTTTACTGTTAGTGCCTCAGTCGCCAAATAAAAAGAAAATCAAAGAACCATGATTAGGATTGTTTGGGTTAATATAGTATTGCCTATGTTAACCTAACTAGTAACCTCAAATTCAAGCATTGTGTACGCACTCGTGTAAAACCTGTAGTAACAGAGACTTAGGGTGTGTTTGGATGAAACCAAACTGTGGTTTGGAAAAGTGATTCTGGAGAATAGATTCTAAAAAGAATAGATTTTATGAAAAAGTGATTTTGAGAAGTGAGAGTGTTTGGATAGTTGTTATCAGAAGCACTTTTTATATATACAAATTACTAAAAAAAAGACATAAGTTAATATGATAATTACAGAAAAAACAAATTTTATGATATATTTTAATTTGAAAGAATAAAATTGTTAATAATATATTTTGTATTAACATAATTAATAATACATAAGATAATATAATTAATAAATAATTAATATGTATATATATTTATAAAATATAAGATTAAATATATTTATAAAAATATGTTTATAAAAAAAATAACAAGATACATATCCTATAGGCTCTCACACTCTTCCTTTTTTCTCCAAAAGCAAAAAATTTTTGCTTTTTCCAAAACCATGATTTTGATTTTTGGGTGGGTGTTTGGGTGATTTATTCCCCAAACCATGGTTTGGGGTGTCACCCAAACACAGCCTTAATGTCTTCGTCATCTTAAGATCCAGATAGCTTGATTAAAATAATGGCGATTACTCCTTTGTTATACGAAAAGGATCAAAGGTGTTGCTGGCTTGGCAAATTACGCAGGCCGAAATGCCCATTTGGACCTTTTTTTTTTTGGTTTCATTTTAAACAAAAAAAGTCAACGACGATTGGTTCACATTAGCTCGGAAACGGTAAATGAATCTTTTTCTCTATAATTCATTTTTTCCCCCCTTGTTCGGCTCAATTTGTCTCTATTAATATTGGAAGAAACATATATGCATATAATTTTATATATAATTTATTTATTTATTTAATAGCTTTGGATCCTATATAATTTCTTAAATTTTTAAGATCTCATATTCTCGTATCATTAATCATGCAATGGAATTGATAGGCAGAATTTTATTTTATTTTTTTTAATAATAAACGTGATCGGATTTCGGAGCCCAAAATAACAAATAAAAAGTCCAAAAGACCCCAAGCGAAGATGGACCTGATCACAAATCAGCAACTTCAGCCCATGGGCCTTACTAACTGAGATTGACCCAAATACAAACCCTTCCCTTCATTGATGAGTTTGAGATCTTCATTTTTGTAATTCCTATAAAAAAGGGTTACCAATAAGAGTTAGTCTAGTTGGTAAAGAGTTGGCTCATAACCCATAAAGTTGCGAGTTGAAATCCCATTTCCGATGTGAGGACTTTATTGGTGAGCAATCTATAAGTACCTCCGTAAGCGTTCTTTGAGCCTGAAAACATGTCCTGACCCTAGTAAGCTCCCAGAACCCAACTCATCTAAACTTTTATTGTACCAAAAAAAAAAGGGTTGAGTAGCAGAAGGGATTAGTTTCTTATAACATGAAGAATCAAGATTTGAATTTTTATCAAAAGAGATGTCCATAAATAATGTCCGACACTATCTCAAATAGGATTGTTTTTTAGAAAAGGATACAAGTTTTTCCCACAATTCTTATCCTGTTTAATATTCAAGTTTCTCTCCCTTAAATATCAAATATATTTATATCTTTATAGCTAAAATTCAATAGTATGTATTTACTGCTATTTTTTCCGCAAGAGATTAAATATATATACCTGTTTGTAATTGATGCAAAATCGGAAGAAATTACACAGTTCAGCCAAAGATGACCTTGAATGAACTCAGGCACTGTGAAATTACTAGCCTCTTCAAAAGTTGTAATCACGTGATAATTAACCAGGTCCTTATTCATCTAATCTCCATAATACGAAGTTACCAAATCCCAATCAAGTTTCATTATGCTTTAATGGCCGACCCAAAAACGTTGGGCTTGCCGCTATCTCACGTCTCTTGTTTGGGTCTGCGCGTCCTGTTTTCTGGTTTCATTACGAATATTGGCCTGAACATGGGCATGCTCATATAGGGTACTAATGAATTCATGTTTGAGCTTATATCAGTATGACAATCATCATTATATTTTATATCAAAAGGGGGAAAAGTTAATTAGAAATATTTAATTCGTCACATGGCAATTACATAACATTTCATCATCACTGAAATTTTCAACTATTACAATGTCCCTCATCTGCCTTGCCATGGAACACCCAAAGCTTGCTTATTACAGCTCTCGCAAGATCCCAAAGCAGAGAACCTACCTTACCCAGGGACTTTAGAGCCCTTCAGTGAAGGCGACCCCAGTGTCCTTGAGCCAAGTCCCGCCTTGAATGAGCTGAGCCACTGTGAATTTGCTTGCCTCAGAAGCACTTGTAATCACATGGAACCCAGGCCACTTCACTCTCTTGGCTGTCCCAGCACCAGGTCCTCTGTTCTTGTACTCTCCATAATACAGATTCTTCAGTGTGGATTGCTTGTCGTCCCATGGAGCCCATCCTGCTGGATCAATGTGGGTGCTCAGGAACGATTGCATCACCACAGTTCGAGAGAACTCCTTCCATGGACGACCCAGAAAGGTTTTCACCGAACCGATCACTGGCTTGAGATCAGAGCTTGGTGTAAGGTTGCATTGCTGGATTGAAGTCCCTGTGTTCTGGTTTGGGTCTACGCGTCCTTGTGCGGTGACCATGTTGTTCTGTTTATCCATTGGCCTTCGAGCCGCTAGGAAGCATTTCTGGAACACCACGGCCGCGTTGCCGAAGACGAAGTCGACGGTGCCTGTGATGATGGAGTCACGGTAGAATTGCCTGTTGGAGTGGGCATATAGGGTGTCTTGGAAGGCGTCCACACGGCAGCGGTTGATGACGGAGAGATCAGCGCCGACGCGGAGAGCCACCGCTTGGTGCTTCTGAGGGCCTGCCGTGTTCTGGAACCATATGTCCTGGCCTATGAATCCATCCCCAACCGCAGCTGCATTTGCATGTTGATTATAAATATGTGTGTGTTAATGCTAAGAAACAAGCCTAACTAAACTTTTCAATGATCTTCTGAACTTTTGTTTAATATAAGGGTGGGCTAATTTGATTAGATTAATAAAATTTGTTAAGTTAGTTATTTGTAATAAATATATTTTGTTTTTCTTATAATATCCTTATTAATCATATGTATTAGTTAAAACTACCATTTGATTTATATTCCCTTTGGTCTTATATATAAGTTTTAAATAACCAAATCACGTTTAACGAACTAACAATTAAAATTACTTAAAAATGTATCTTCTTTTTTTTCTTAAATTTGTCCTTATTTATTAATAAAGTAAATCAGAGTCAATAAATGAAAAATATGAAAGAGAATATATGGGAGTAATATTAATAAGAGATGGAAAGTACTAAATATAGTCAACTAAACGCAAAATAAGAAAAAAAGTCATAAATGCTCAGTCAAACTTAAAAATATAAAGTTTATATTTTAGACCAGACTCATTTCTAAAACTAAAGCCTATATAGGACCGGAGGGAGTACATACTATAGGGATTATTCAAAAAATATAACTAAATATAAGAGATAAAATATATTAAGATTTTATATCTATCACTAAATTAAAAGTGAAACCATGACTTTACTAATTTAATTGTACCCAACAAAAAAATTTCTGATGCAAGGATGACGTACTACAGGCTCTCTGGATAGGGATCAGCTTGATTTTCAAACTGATCGCGATGTTTCAGTTCAATCATAAACTTCCAAGAAACTAAAGATTAATGGGATCCAGAGATAAGACTAAAATGATAAAGCTAAGCCATATCTCGTCTATGATCCATCAAGCTTTATCAGCTGACCCCACCAGCTCGCTGGGCTGCCCGTACTAATTAAAATTAATTGTTGTATTATTTGTAATAAATATGGAAAAAAAAAAATCATCTCTCAATTTAATGAAAAAACCCAGACATCAAGAGATGAAAATCAAAGAGATCCATACCGACGGTGGCTGTCCTGAAGGTGGAAGTTCCATCGACAAAATTCAAACTTCCAGTTATGATCGTCTCATCTTTACCATCACCCACTAGCATCACATTCTTCTTCTTGGATCCAATCTCAACATTCTCTTTATAAACTCCCTTCTTGACATATATTACATACCTCGTCTTACTGTTATCAGGTGCCGCATCCACGGCCTCCTTCACCGTTTTAAACCTGCCACTTCCGTCCTTGGCCACCACAACGTTAGCCTTTATATCATTCGCAGAAGCCTCCAGAAGCTTCCTGTCCTTACTGGTCACCCATGAGGGAAATTCTCCATTCAGTGGCTCCTCAATAGTTTCAGTGTTAGAGGGCATGACATGAACAAGCATGGCTAGGGAGGTTCTGGCTCTGGAGACCAAGTCATTGAGCTCAGACTCGATAAGGGCTCGAGCGGAGCCCGCTCCTTCTAACTCATCCAAGCAAGTGACGTGGTTAGTGAGGACAGTGCTGAGCCATGTGTGAGCATCCTGGTAGGATTTGGTGGTGTTCTCTGTGAGAGCCACCACAGAGTCCCAAACCCTGTCAAGGGACGAGTCCAGAAGTTGTTCACAGACAAGCAGAGCTTGCTGCTGTTTTGGATCGTTGATTCTGTATTTGATGGCTTTGGTTGAGTCCACAGTTTTCTGGATTTGTGAGGTGGATCTGATCAGGAAAGATTGAAGCAATTTGGAGTTTTGGTGGTTAAAGGTCGAAGCTTTAGTTAATTCAGAGACGTGGGCAAGGCATGAAGATCTGTGAAGGGCATGATCACATAGATGATGATAAGGGGGAAGAGAAAGGTTGAAGAAGGAGGAGGAGGGTGTGAAGAGATAAGAAGCAAAAAGAGCAGAACTGACGAGAGCAGCTAGAGAGAGAAGAAGCCACATGGTCCTGGAAATGGATTTGTTGGGTTTGTGAAGGAGAGATTGGTGGGAGGCAGCCATGTTTGAATAATTGGGGGTGGCACACATGTTAGTGAGAGGCAGTGTTGCTTGCTTTATATAGAGAAGCGAACTTGCATGTATTAGGTTGGAGAGTGAAGAAAAAAGGGAAAATTTCACTGTAGGACCGCAGAAGACAATTAATTTCAAAGAGCCCTCAAAACTTTCTGAAACTTCACTGCAGGACTAAGAGGGCAAACTGATATTAATTCCACAAAGAAAATGACGCTATTGCCCCTCATAATACTTATTGCAGGGTGACATGTAAATGGACTAATTTCAGTTGTAAATAAAGGTATGTATGTTGCAAATTGACTAGTCCCACTTGCAAATGGGTTCTCTCACACTTATTCACTCACAGGCACCTTTTTCAGGTGAATGAGGTGATATGTAAATGGACTAATTCTAATTGTAAATAAATGTATGTATGTTGCAAATTGACTAATTCCACTTGCAAATGGACGCTCCCACACTTGTTTACTCACGGAGACCTTTTTCAGGTGAACGAAGTGACATGTAAATGAACTAATTCCAGTTGTAAATAAATATATGTATGTTGCAAATTGTCTAGTCTCACTTGCAAATGGGCTGTCCCACACTTGTTCACTCAGACACATTCTTCAGGTGAAGAAGGTAATATGTAAATGGACTAATTTTAATTGTAAATATATTTATGCATGTTGTAAATTATCTAACCTCACTTGCAAATGGGTTCTCCCATACTTGTTCACATGAGGGGCAATAGGGTCATTTTCTTTGTGGAATTAATATCAGTTTGCCCCCTTAGTCCTGCAGTGAAATTTCAGAAAGTTTTGGGAGCTCTTTAAAATTAATTGTCTTCTGCGGTCCTACAGTGAAATTTGCCCAAGAAAAAATGTGCGAGATTTGAAACATGGGATAATAAAATCATAATATCAAAACACACACACACACAAATTAGATCTTAAATATTCTACAATTGTTGTGTTGCCTAGAAATTTATATTCTTTTTTTTACTTATATTTCTTCAGTTTTAGCTCTTGTGTTGCGCAAGGGTCAATTATAGCTAATACTTTCTTCTGTTTTATAATATAAGACATTAGTTAAATCATTATATGTAAATTGATAAAAATTACCTATTTTACCCGTATTTAAGAATTGTGATTGAAAAATTTTCTGGTGTCTTTCCTGTATTTTAAACCCTCTCTTCTCCATGTAACAAGGGGTTAAAAATAGAAAACTATTATTAATTACTCTGTTAACTTCTTATATTTTGAACTAAAAATTTCTTCTAAATGACTTTTTATATAATGGAGAGAAGGGACTAAATAATTGAAGCAGATAAGCCCGTGAGCGCCGATAGTGTATTAATATACTGTCAATATCTCAGTATATTATAGTAGTATAAAATTTATTTTAATATCATGATCTTAAGTTGTAGACAGTGCATATAATAACTCAGTACAATGTAAAACTGTGCTTAGGTAATACTCCCTCCGTTCCTTATTATAAGAGACATTTGATGCTTATGGCATGTTCCTATATATAAGAGACACTTACAAGTTGTCTCTACTTTTTTGTGTTGATTTACTATTTTACCCATATTTATTATCTCCAACTCACACTCTCTCTCCCTCCCACTTCTCTTTCTTTTAATAATTTAATTGTTCTCTCTCATACTCTCTCCTTATTAATGAGGGCATTTTTGAAAAAATATTATACTTTTTACACATTAATTGTTCTTAACTAATTTTAACTGTTTTTTTGATCAACATATTTCGGTTATTTGTCTCTTATAACAAGGAACGGAGGGAGTACTTTGGTTAAAAAAAAAGAAAAAAGAAAATACTACTTTATTATTAAAGTTGGAAAAAAAAAAAAAGAAATTATTTGGCCTTTGAAATACTTTATTTTAAAAGATATGTGCTATAGACATATCGCCCGCGGTTTCTGCTGTTAAAGAAGTCAAAATATTCACCTATTCGACAGTTTTGTCTAAAATACGTAACATTAGTTGAGATATGGGGTCTATTTCATATTAAAGTGAGAATATTTAAGCGAAGATTGAGGTGAGTTGTCGGTGCAATCATACGACCCAATCCAGACGTTATGAATACTAGTACACATTTTGGGGGGAAAAAAAAGGTTGCGTGGATTTGATCCCATCTGTCAAATTCTAGAATTTAATCTCAATTAATGTGAAATGTTTTTTTAATTGTTTTAAGGGGTTACTAAACACTCTATGAGCCGTTGATTACAAAAAAAAAAAAAGATTATAAAAAGCTAATCTATTAAGAGAATAATTTATATAAACTTGAATTTGGACAAGGGACTCTTAACATTATGAGAATGTTACATGTGTAATCATGTATCTTCAATGTGGGCGCTTTCTGGACAATGTGGGTACAATAATTTGTGATGGTCATCTTTCCCCCCAGTATTTATTTGCACGCGTGCCCACTTTAATTTCAACTCAAGTGGCATTGTACATAAGCATGGAACTTTAATATTCCACTTGAACTTTAATGGTGTTGGTACCATAGTTAGATCTCGAAAGCTAGCAAAAGTCACAGGAATCTACTCCGTCTCCAAGAGTTTTTGACCTTTTAGCATGTTGAAAATATTTTTTGTCTTTATTGTCAAAAATATTGGAATTCTATTTATATATTATTTTCACCATGTTTCACGTAAATAAAAAAATTTTAAATCTCGTTAACTCTTATTTAAAATTTAATAGTTTTTTAAATTTATTCCTATTTAATATAGATTATATTTTATATAAACAAAGTTAACACAATAATAAATAAAAAGTTAAATTGTAAATTTATATAAAAAAATTTCTCTTAATATTCTATAAATAGAATTAAAAAAAATATTTTCTCTCTGTTCTATAAATAGGATAAGAGGAGTACTCTTTATTTAATAATAACAAGTTCTTACATATTATTAAGTGCTAAAATCATAGGACTAAGATCTACAGGATCTAGATATGTCATCAATCTCAAACAAAGACACGTGATGTTAATCGAAGTTCGGAGCAAGTCTGCTTTTCTGCACTATAAAAATTAATAAATATAAAAACTAGTTAAGTAATTTGAATAAATTAAAAAAATAAGTTAAATTAGTTATTTGTAATAAATAGATATTATTTTTTTTAAAATATCTTTACTAATCAAGTTTATGGGTTAGAATTATTATTATTATTAAAAAGACTATCTTAAAAAAAATATGAGAAACAAAGTAGATTGTGGTTTTATATTTAGAATCAAAATAAAAATTAAACAAAATCTTATATTAAATATTAGAAGTGGTATTATAATTTTCTCGTTACTTTGGGTCTAAAGTTTTTCTATGTTATCTTTTTGAAAAGAGGAACGGAAAACAAATATTAAAGTCAAATTGAGACAGACAGATTCAGAATTCAAAAGGATAATTCTATAAATTAAAGCAAATGCCACATGTCTCTGGTAATATAAATATAGAAAGCGAGGAACACAATTATGAAGCTGCTCCAATGTGCAATTATACGAGCAAATCCAAGAGACCAAAGCCCCTCAACTTGTAATATATATAATTTGTAAGGGTGCTTAATTATGCTATGGCCAAAAACTAAGTGTATTCCTCACTTTCTTGCCACGTTGTTTTTGTCGGATGGTCCCTGTAAAATACTGTGTTTTCAGTGCTGTCTTTTTCTAATATATTTGTCATCGCGTGATTTTTATTGAAAGATAGTAAATTATATAGTTCTATCTTTTTTTAAAACAAAATTTTTTTATTTTTCCTTTTTTTTAAATATCTCGTCAATTTTAGGACTAGTGTGACTGTGAAGATCTGAGCAGAATTTGTTTAATGGAGTTCTAAGCAAAGGAATATAATTATTAAAAAGTCTTAATGATAATAAAGCAGCTTATAATAACATGTTTTAAAGTGAATAGTAAATGACAACTGATTACTTGTTATTGGGAATTGCTTATAATTAATTTTTTTTCTTGGATCTCATTGTAACTCTCCTTTTTTTATTTTATTTTATGGATGAAAAGGTATCTTAGTATTACCTTTGATGTTTAATGTAAAAACTCGTTTGACTTATATTTTGATTCTAAATATAAGATCTCAATCTACTTTATCTTTTATATTTATTATTTTTTTCGAGATAGTCCTTGTAATAATAGTTGTTCTAGCCAATACACTTGATTAGCAATGATATTTTAGGAAAGACAATACTTATTTATTACAAATAACTAACTAAATTAGTTTACTTAATTTACTCAAATTAGTCAACTAGTTTTTATATTAAAGAGTGGAGCTAGTATTATTGACATTGAAATAGGTATCTTAATATTAAAATATATATATTTGTAGCCAACCTTGTGTCAATAATGAGATATACTTGAATAACTTGTTGTGAAATTAGAGTTTAATTTGGGCGCACATAACTCAGAGGAGAAAAAAAGAGGAGAAAGGGTACATACTGTTCATTTGTTCTTCTCTTCCTCTTTCACGGCGGGCTCACACTTGCCAAACAAAAGTACCCAGTTTCTTGGCGCTTTAGCAATTTTATTTCCCTGTTATTGGTTAGAATTGTTATCACACCTCTCCTTTATATAAAAACTACTTCTTAATTAATTTGAATAGATTAAAAAAATAAAATAAATCAATTAATTATAATAAAATGTGAGTTATTTTATTAAAGTACCCCATTTAAAAATGCGAATTGTGACCATTACAAAATTCAACTGGGGAAGTGTTTGCGTTTGATATAAAATCGACCAACATTGCTTTTCCTTCATTCGTCTTCAAAATAAAAGGAAAATGACACAAAAATAACACTTAAATTTGAAAATCTCTATTTGTTTACCTGAATAATGAAAATTCTTATTTAGTCACATATGATCAAATTAAAATTTTGAAATTTGCTATAAAAAAAAAAATCATCAAGCACTCTCACTTGCTAGCCGGCTATTAGAGCTTTGGCGCCCGCAGCCACAGCTAAGCTCAGGCAAGTTGCAGGTTGCTTGAGCTTCGGCGGCCGGCCGAAGACTCCGGTGACGGGTAACTAT